ATCTCTCATGTGTATGATTTAGAGGTTATATAATTATGCTCTGGACAGTTTAGGTATGATTAACAAATAATTCAAGATGACTGTGTTATTTGTCTCCTCCTTGGTTTCCTTAAAAACTATTGTCATTATTCTTTTACTACAACACAAACAATAAAATACATGAACCTTTTGTTGGAGAATAAAGGATTCACTGAGGGTTTCCCAGGTGGCTCAGTTGGTAAAGAACCTGCCTGCAATGCGGGAGATCTGGGTTCAGTCCCTGGGTCAGGAAGATCCCCTGCAGGAGGGCATGGCAGCTCACTGCAGTCCTCTTGCCTGGAGAATCCCATGGCCAGAGGAGCCTGGCGGGCTACAGTCCATGGGGTCACAGAGTGTCAGACACGGCTGAGTGACTAACACACAAGGGCACTTGAAAGAAATGCGCAGCACTGTAAAGCTGCTCTAATACAGCCGCGTGGACCACATTCCTCTTTTGTTTAAAATCCTCAGTGCCGATAACGTGTGTGTGCTCAGTCATGTCTGACTGTGTGCACCTCCATGGACTGTAGCCCACCAGGTTCCTCTGTCCGTGAAATTTTCCAGGCAAGAATACTGGAGCAAGCTGCCATTTCCTTCTCCAGGGAATCTTCCCGACCCAGGGATCCAACCCGCATCTCCGGTGTCTCCTGCGTTGGCAGGTGGATTCTTTACCACTGAAGCATCTGAAGCCCCAGTGCTGATTAGACAACTCCAAAAGTGCCAAGGCTCAATTTAAAAATATCATTTAAAATTTTAGGCATAGGCCTGACTTTACGCCAAGTGAACAACAGTAAGAAATAGAAGATGGAATTTTGTGACAGGATGATAAGGAACTTTTAAGGTTGACAGAGGAAAGGATGAAAAATTCCACTCACAGGGCTAAAACTCCACTTCTGTATGCTAGGAAAGGTATTAAGGCCATGTATCCATGTTCTCATTTGATCTTCATGCCAAACCCATGAATATCTCTGATGTTTGTTTGTGTGTGTGTGTACATAGGTCAAGAGATACAGGAGCTCATATTGGTAATTAGCTGCCCAATTGTTTTTATTTACTTTAGCAGATCTAGCTACATTATACATATTTATAATTAGTATTTTGTTGATTAAGAAAATAGTAACTCTAAAAATTCTGTGCTGAAACATACTTTTGCCTATTGCTGAAAAAACATATTAAACACTAAAATTTCTTTCCCAGCCTTAATTTGGTCACCAAATACTTTTGTTAACTATCAAAAGATAAAATAGGTCAAAATATAATTTAGGAAGCCCAGATAAGAAACAAAAAGCTAGCAGACAATTCCCCAAAGAATGTCACACATGTAATGAGTCCTAACATAAATCTCCATATAAAACTCTTTTGCAGTTATTTTAAAAAATTTTTGTCTTTTCTATTTGCTTTGATATGTTCATTCTGTTAAAGAAATTTGGAGAAAATCCAAAGATATATAAAATCTCCCATTTCACTCAGTTCTTAGACCCCCGTTTCTTTAAATTAGATCTATGTTTTGTTTTTTTTTTTTGCCTTCAACTAGATCTTTTAATGCCTGTAACTGCTTTTGGCTTTATAGAATGAAGCCTCAAAAAAGTGGGGTAGCATAAAGATTTAAATTTGGAAAAATAATTTTGGAAATAGTCAAATTTTTGTGTTAAATTATATTCAGATAGAATTCTCTTATAATGTTTATTGGATATTATGTCCCCTATTAATACTTTTATTTGCTATTGTTTAGTTGCTAAGTCTGGTCCAACTCTTTTGTGATCCCATTGGCTGTGGCCCACCAGGTTCCTTTGTCAATAGGATTTCCCAGGCAAGAATACTGGAGTGGGTTACCATTTCCTTCTCCAGGGAATCTTGCCAACCCAGGACTGAACCTAAGTCTCCTGCATTGACAGGCAGATTTTTTACCACTGAGCCACCAGGGAAGCCCAACACTTTTATAAGCATTTTCAGATTTGCTTAGAAATTGTTTTGCTCGGTAAGAGTAAGCAGAATTATTTTCTCCTGAGGAAATGGTTACTTCATTGCTATATAAATATGTGTTGACACATAGAGCAGAATTTATATTAGACAAAAAAAGTAAACAATCTGAATGTACAACAGTAGTGTAAAATGGTTAAATAAATTATAATGTATGCATTTGATGTAATATTCAGCATCCGTTAAAATCAATAGATTAAAAATTTTGGATTTGAATGGTTAATGTGATGAGAGAAAGCTTGTGATATACTGTTAAATGGAAAAGGCAAAATTCAAAACTGTATTTTTAACTATAATTGATACAGTTCTAATTTTTACTTTATGGCTCTAATTTCACTTAGCTATATATCTGTATATCTAAGTATATGTTGTTTTTGTTGTTCTACTCTCTAAGTCATATCCAACTCTTTGAAACCTTGTGGACAGTAGCCTTCCAGGCCACTCTGTCCATGAGATTTCCCAGGCAAGAATACTAGAATGGGTTACGATTTCCTCTCCCAGGGGATCTTCCTGATCCGGGGATTGAACCTGGTCTTCTGCACTTGAAGGTTGATTCCTTACCACTGAGCCACCAGGGAAGCTTATGAAATGTGTGTATGGGTGTGTGTGTGTATTTGTGTGTGTGCGTGTGTGTATACACACCTATTTTATTGTGGTAAAAAAACAGAGAACAAAAGACATACAGATAGCCAGCACACACAGGAAAAGATGTTAAGCATCACTAATCATCAGGGAAATGCAAACAAAACCACAGTGAGATATCACTTCAGAACAGCTCAGACAAAGACAAGAAATAACAAGTGCTGGAAAGGATGTGGATAAAAAAGAACGCCTGTATACTGTTGGTGGGGTTTAAACTGGTGCAGCCACTATGTAAAACAGTATAAACCTTCCTCAAAAAATTAAAAATAGAACTACCATATCGTCCGGTAATTTCACTTTTGAGTGCTTACCCAAAGAAAGTAAAATCACTAATTAAAAAACCCTATTTTCATTCTAGTATTATTTATAACAGCCAAGATATAGAAGCAAGCTAAGGTCCATCAATAGATGAATGGATAAAGATGTAATATATATATATATATACATATATATATAAATGTATATATATATATACAGTAGAATATTTGCTATTTAAAAAAAGAGTGAAATCTTGCCATGGGACATCATGGATGGGTCTAGAAGGTATTATGCTCAGAGAAAGATAAATACTATATGATCTCATTTATATGTAGAATCTAAAAAACAAACAAAACAAAACAAAAACAGACTCGTAGATACGGAGAACAAATGGGTGGTTGCCAAAAAGACAAAGTTTGGGGGAATGAGTGAAATTAAGGTAATAGGTAAGTGAAATTAAGAGTACAAACTGCTGATTATAAAATAATTAAGTCATGGGGATGTAATTTACATACATATGCATAAGAAATATGGTAATACTGTAATGACTTTGTATGGGCACAGATGGTTCTAGACTCAGGTTTGATCATTTCATAATGTATTTAAATGTCAAATTACTATTTTATATTCCTGAAGCTAACATAATATTGTTTGTCAGCTGTATTTCAAATAAAAAATAAGTAGATGAGAGGTATACAATATATAGATAGTTATCAAAATAATATAATGCACATAATTACATTAACATGTAATATATTGCTGATAATTATATGAACACCTAATATTTTATGCCACTTTTTAAAAAGTTTATCAGACATCCCTGCATATATTATATCCTCTACATTTCTCATCGCAGTTCTATGAACTAGGTAGTTGTCTCCACTTTAACAAATGATGGGTAAAGTTCAGATAGATTTGTATTATCTATCACTAACAATAACAACAACAAATTAGTAGTAGTAATTGTAGCGGCAGCAACAAGAGAGGAGTGGCAACTAGTAGTTGTTGAATACATGCAGTTGCGAGAGGGTCTCTGAATAAAATGGATATCTGTTTATCCCCCCAAAAGATTCAGGTCATGAGCACAGGGGGGCGGGGCCTGCAGGTACCAGATACTAAGAAGAGAAAAGATTCTGTTGTGGGTCCAGCTGTACTATGGAAGTGTAGGAAAAGATTGAGTCTGGTAGAGTAAAGAGTACCTAACTGGAATCAGGTGATCTATATCCTTAATCTAGGACATACCACTAATTTTATCTGTGAAAATAGGTAAATCATTTCTCCTGACTTTCTTCTTGTTTAATAGAAGTACTAACTAAGATCCTTTACAAGTCTACCATTTAGAGTTACTTTTTGCTTCCTTTAGGTGCGCACTGAACTACCATAGTCTGGGGAAGGGGAAGAGAAGGAATATAAGAATGTGAATTTGAATAAGAATGAGAAAGAAAAGGAGAAAGAGACGTCCACTAAATACTCATAGCATAATACTTTATATGATATAATAATTAAACCTCAAAATAGCTTTACCTGTCATTAGTACAAAGTTTGTTCATCTCTTTTCCAGTGAAAGGGCAAATTAGAAATTTACTTTTCCATGATACCCATTTTTGAAGAATAATCACTATCTTTGGGGAATCTAAGACATACAGATTGAAAAGAATTGGATTTTGAAGACCAAAGATGTATCTGAAAAACAACTATCTGTTTCTTTCAATATATGTTTTTACATAATTTCACATTAAAAGAATGTCTTTTTTTTTTGACAGTTGGTGAATTACATCCCCTAAAGGGTGAAATGAGAGGTATTTTGTGTATTAGATACTAGTTCCTTCGAACAAGAAGAATAAACTTTTCATTTAACTTCCTTTTTCTAACTGACACTTTTTGCTGATTTACTGCATCTAAAGAATAAATATATAAGTATGTAATTATGTAATCTCAGAACCATCTTGCTAGTTGTAAGGTGGTTAAAAAAAAAAAAACCTACTTTTCATCATTTAATTCTCTCATGCCTAAAGGAGTATTTTTACCTTTTGACTGCTAAAGGAAGATATCTTCTCAAAGCCATTCTCTACCTGATACATTTTTTTAATTATGTATTTCAGGCCCTGCTTGATACTCAGAATCTTTTGCGTGCACAAATCACAAATTTTACTTTCAACCTGGGATTTTCAGGGAAATTTTACCATACAGGTAAGATAGAGATTAACTATCCCCGTAGTTAGCCTCTCTGACCACTCTTTAAAACTGTGACCCACTCCTCTTCACACCTTCTTGTGTCTCTCCAATACTTTATTTTCTTCATATTACTCAATTTCATTTAATTTATTTTTCCACCTTTACAAAATGTTAATAGCTTAAAAATTTATTCACCATGTTATTATTTAATGGCCTTTTCTCTACTGAACTATAATTTACATATATAAAACTGTGTAAGTAGTAAGTATAGTGCTCAATGAATTTCACCAAGCATACAGAGCTATGTACCCAGATCAGGAAAGAGGTACTACCAGAATCTACACACCCTCTGCCTTGTGCTGCTTTAGAGTCACTAGCTTCCCACCAAGAAAACCACTATCCTGACTTCTAATATCATAAATTCGTTTGCCTGGCTTTAAGATCTGTATAAAAAGAATCATATAAATGGACTCTTCTTTATATAGCTTGTTTTGTCTAACATTTTGGTTTTGCAGACATTATTGTATAGGGTTGTATTTCTTTCAGCTTTATTGTTCTGTAGTATTTCACTGTTTGAATTTACAGAATTTCTTTATTCCATTCTGTTCCAGTGTGAATGGCTGGGTTGTTTTCAGTGTTTGCCTTTCTTTTTTTGAATAGTCGTGTTAAGAACATTTTAAACACAACTATTGTTAAAAATAGTTGTCCTTCAGAGGACATATGTTTTTCTGTTGTTTATCAATCAGTAGAATTGCTGGTTATATGATATACTTATGATCAGCTTTAGTAGAAAATGCCAAACAGTTTTTCAAAGTGGTGGTATCAATTTATATTTCCAATACTATGTGAGTTTTCCTGTTGTTTTATATTCCTCCAAGTATTTAATATTATTAATATTTATCTTATTGTTTTAGCCCTTCTGGTGGGCATGTAGTGATACCATATTATGGTTTGAATGTACATTTCACTGACAAGTAGTGAAACTGAGTTCCTTTCATGTATTTATTGACCATTTGTATCTCTTCTGTTTTTGAAATATCTTACTGCCTTTATTGGGTTATCTGCCTTTACTTATTGATTTGTGGAAATTCTTTATGTATTCTTAATGACCTCTTTGTCAGTCATATGCATTGCAAATGTTTTCTCCTGATGTGTGGTTTATCATTTTTACATTCCTACTGATACTTTTTGATGAGCAAAATGTAGCCCATTTATCTTTTTTTTCCTTTTTGTGTCTCTTTAAAGACATTTTTGCATGCCACAAGATCATAAAAATATGTCCCTACATTCTTAAAATGCATGCATCTGAGATCCATCTAGAATTGATTTTTGTGTATGTGTGAGATAAGGGTCAAGATACCTGCTTTTTGAGCAAGTGTGGTTTTCTAATTAATTTGAAAACACTTGTTCTGATTTCAGGGTGAGGTTTCTACTTCACAACAAAAAAATAGAAAGAAACCTTTTTCTCATAAAGATGTCTAATTGGTACCAAGTATTGAAAAGACCATCCTTTTTTCACCGCACCATGGTGTCATCATTGTAATAAATTAGATGACCATAGATGTGTGGACTCTGTTTATGGACTTTCCTGCTCATTGGTTCTATTTGTGTCATCATGCTATCTTATTTACTATAACTAATTGGTTCAGTTCAGTCACTCAGTCATGTCCGACTCTTTGCAACCCCATAGACTGCAGCACTCCAGGCTTCTCTGTCCATCACCAACTCCGGGAGCTTGCTCAAATTCATGTCCATCGAATTGGTGATGCCATCCAACCATCTCATCCTCTGTCATCCCCTTCTCCTCGTGCCTTCAATCTTTCCCAACATCAGGGTCTTTTCCAATGAGTTAGTTCTTTGTATCAGGTGGTCAAAGCATCAAAGTTAATACTAATATCTGCTATTTAAGTCTTCTAAGTTTGTTCATCGTCTTCATCATTGCCTTGGCAATTCTTGGCCTTTTGTACTTTTATATAAATTTTAAAATTAGCTTACCATATCCACAAAGATCCTCACTAGAACTTTTATTTTACTGTTGCTGCTGTTGTTGTTGTTGTCGTCCAGTCACTAAGTCCTGTCCTACTCTTTGCAACCCCAGGGACCGTAGCACACCAGGTTCTTCAGTCCTCGACTGTCTCCCAGAGATTGCTCAAATTCATGTCAAGTGAGTCAATGATACTGTCTGAACCATCTTCTCCTCTGTTGCCCTCTTGTCCTTTTGCCTTCAATCTTCCCCAGCATCAGGGTCTTTTTAAGTGAGTCAGCTTTTCATATCAGGTGGCCAAAGTATTGTAGCTTCCACTTTAGCAACAGTTCTTCCAATGAACATTCAAGGTTGATTTCCTTAGTATTGACCAGTTTGATCTCCTAGCAGTCCAAGGGACTCTCAAGAATCTTCTGTAGCACCGCAATTCAAAAGTATCAGTTCTTCGGCACTCAGCCTTCTTCTGGTCCAACTCTCACACCCATACATGACTACTGGGAAAACAATAGCTTTGACTACACAGACCTTTGTTGACAAAGTGATGTCTCTGCTTTTTAATACGCTGTTTATCAGCTTTCCTTCCAAGAAGCAAGCATCTTTTGATTTCATGGCTGCAGTCACTGTCCACAGCGATTTTGGAACCCAAGAAAGGAAACTCACTGCTTCTGCTATTTCCCCATCTGTTTGCCATGAAATGATGGAATTGGATGCCATGATATTGGTTTTTTAATGTTGAGTTTCAGCCCAACTTTTTCACTCTCCTCTTTTACTTTCATCAACAGGCTTTTTAGTTCCTCTTCACCTTCTGCCATTAGAATGGTATCATTTGCATATCTGAGGTGGTTGATATTTCTCCTGGTAGTCTTGATTCCAGCTTGTGATTTGTCCAGCCCAGCATTTCACATGAAGTACTCTGCATAGAACCTAAATAAGCAAAGTGACAACACACAGCTTTGTCACCCTGTAGAATTTTTATTTAAATTACATTAAATCTATTAATTAATTTGGGGAGAATTGTTGTGCTAAACATTGAGTCTTCCTATGCTTGAACATATTTGTGCTCAGTGTGTGCTCAGTCATATCCGACTCTCTGCCACCGCAAGGACTGTAGCCCGCCAGGCTCCTCTGTCCATGGAATTTTCCAGGCAAGAATACTGGAGTGGGTTGCCAGTGCCTACTTCAAGGGATCTTTCTGACTCAGGGGTCAAATCCGAATCTCTTGCATCTCCTGCATTGGCAGACAAATGAATTCTTTACCAATTGGGGAGAACTCATATTTGGTAGGTTCTCTTTAATTATACTTGACAAAACTTTATTAATTTTCTATTTATTCCTTGGTGGAGTTTTTTGATGCAATAGTTAATGATGTCTTTTTTAAAGTTTTTTTCCCCATTTCTCTGTTAATAATATGTAAAAATAAAATTGATTTTGTGTACTGATATTAATATTCAGCAGCCTTGCTACACTCACTTATTAATTCTATACTTTCAAGATTCTTTTGGATTTTCTACCTACTCAATCACACAATTTTTGGATGGTAAAAATTTTATTTCTTCCTTTCTGAGCTTTATGAAATTTCTTTTCTTTTCCTTGCCTACTGCATTAGCTTGGATGTCCACTAAATATTAAATAAACATAGTGATAACAACACATGTCCTGTTCCTGACCTCAGGGGAAACCCTTAAGTAGTTCTGTTCCTGTTCTTGAGGGTAACTCTTTCAATAGACAATTTCATAGATAGTCTTTATTAGCTTAAGTAAGATCCCTTCTGTTCCTAGATTGCTAAATGTATGGATGTTGAATGTACTTTATTTGTAAATTATCTGTTGTCATTCCTCACTAAAATGATCACTCTACAAACACTTCATTGTTGTAACACCAGCAAGCAGAACAGTACCTATTGAAAAAAACAAACAAAAAAAAAAAAGAGCTAATGAATAAAGGATTGGGTGAAAATAAAATTACCTTTCTTTTCACCATTAATATTTATAAGGGACAAGGTCAGAGAATAAAATTTGACCATGTTGTGTTGTGAAAGAAAATCACTTAAACACTAAGAATAACTAAAAACTTCTTTCCCAAACATAATAGAAATACATGAAAACTAAATTTTCATTGAAATACATACATTTCATACATACATACATTGAAATACAATAGAAATACATGAAAACTAAATACATGGCAACTAAATTTTTTTGTCCAGTGCTGATACTAAAGAACGACTCTAGCCAGTTGCTCCCCATGATTTCTGTTTCTGAGAGACTCACCTCTTTCCTTACTGGGGTTCTCCCAGACAGCTCACAGTCCTCTCTCTAAGCCAAGGAGAGTAGAACACAAGAGGAAGCTAAGGAGAAAGCGTGAAAGAGTTTTGTATAAGATCTGAAAGTGCCCACAAAACTTAGCTAGGGTTTTCTAAAACCAGTAAAATCAGTTTTCAGTGGGAACAGATATGAAATTTAATAATATGAATCCTTTGAAAATTGGATATTGTAAAGTTTAATTGAATTACATTGTCTTCCTTTCTAAATGAGTAACTCCTTTTTCTGTTAAAAATTCTGTTTTATTCAGTCTTGAAGGGAAGAAGAAAAATAGCACAATCATACTAGTAAGATTTTATCTTAGGAAAGAGTTTCATCTTATTTGATTTACTTTTAGTTTTTGAAAGATTTGCACATTTTATGAAAAATAAAGAGATGAAAGGATAAAAATTATAGTTCCCTTTTAGTGAGCAACACCATATTCTAGGTACTTAACTAAGCACTTTTCTTGTAACTTTTCATTGAATTCCAGGATTTAAAGAATGTGTTATCTTGTTTTCTAGATAACATAGAAACTTCAAGGGTCCCAAGGTTATATAGCTAATTACATGTAAAAAAAAAAAATACTCTTAACTTCTAGTCAGAGCCCAAGTCTTATGTATTAGGGGAAAAATGGATTTTTATCATTTAATTGGCAATCCTTGATTAAGGAAGCTGAATGGCAAAAGGTGCCTTCCCCTTATCTGTAGGTTCTTTAGGTTGTATATTTT